TGGACTAGATGACCCATAGAGGTCCCTTCCAACTCCTACCATTCTGTGAGTCAAGCGAATGTCAAGAGAGCGGAAGCTGGAATGGGACTGTGAATTAGTGGTGAATCTGTGCAAAACCATGAAGAATAACAACAATCAGATACCAAGCCTGCTTAAGAGATATGGTGCCCCAGACTGCTGCTGTTACATCTAGCTACTCGCATGATGCAATAGATGTGGGTTTGACCCAAAGCACTGTGGCCTGCAATACCCACGCAGAGGAGTCGAGGGCAGCCGGGCTGGGAATGCCAAGACCAGATCTGAGCCCTGTGGCAGCTCTGTTAAGTCAGAGGCTGGAGGGATGCAGCATATTTCTGTAATCTAACCTGCTGCTTTTAGATCTGCTACTGAGATGTGCACATTTCTTCCCCTTAAAGCAATGAAAAAGAGGGCTTGCATTTCCATAGACTAGCTTGTATGTGGGCCCCTTCATTTTTCTTCCTCCTGCTTTTCCACCAGAAGCGCTGGATCCAGTTTGAAACAGTGCCTGTGTATCAAGGTCTCTTTTATGAGCTCTACAGAAGTATTTTTTCACTTTCCTTCCTTACATAAAGCTTCAACATGCGGTTGAGTTGCCGAGTTTGGTCAAGTGCGCCTGTTTTTCAGATGAATTAAGTTTTCATCTTCGCTAATCAAACACTGGAGCCTCAGTGCACACTATATGTAACATGTTTCAGTGTTAAACTAATTCAGATGGAATCTGTGACTGCAGTGGGTTCAGAAAGCAAGAGCTAAAATGCGTGCTACATCTTGCGTGTGTTTTATTTTGCTTCTAATCCTGAGAGCCTGTTAAAAGAAAACATGGGGTTTAAACCTGAGCTCTTCTATTAAAAATATGAAAATAAGTATGAGGAATGCGCCTGGCTCCCAGCGTGAGTGAAACTACACCACGTGGTTTCCATACAGAAAGTGATACTGCATGAGCCACGCTGCTGTTACGGCTGTCGCCTGTTTCCTGCACCATCCTTGCGGCGTGGCGGGCTGGCTGCTGATGGGAGACCCCGAAGCTCTTCCATTAAGGCTTTTGGGGGAGAGAGAGGATCTTGGGGGCTGGGTATGCCCAGTTCCGTGACCACTAGTGTTCAGCCAGCGATAAAATAGAAAGTAAGGATTGTTTTCAAACGCTTCCTGATGTGATTGTGCTTGGAAAAAGCTCAGGAGTGCTAAACCGAGAGAAAATGTAGGGTGCTTTTTAGGTCTGAAGAAGAGCAAGTCAGAAGTGGTTCTTCCATTAAGGCTTTTGGGGGGGAGAGAGGATCTTGGGGGCTGGGTATGCCCAGTTCCGTGACCACTAGTGTTCAGCCAGCGATAAAATAGAAAGTAAGGATTGTTTTCAAACGCTTCCTGATGTGATTGTGCTTGGAAAAAGCTCAGGAGTGCTAAACCGAGAGAAAATGTAGGGTGCTTTTTAGGTCTGAAGAAGAGCAAGTCAGAAGTGGTTGTGAAAGTGAGTCACAACCTGGAAGTATCTCTGCCTCCAGGTACAAAAATTGAACACCCTTTCCAAAAATGAACACTCAGCTCCTATTTCTGCTGGGGTATAAAATTCTCTTGGCACCTGGAGCTGTCACCTTCCCTTCCTGCTCTGCTTGCCTGTTCCGTGGCAGTGTGGTGTCAGCTCGCTGCAATTGTCCTCCTGCGTGCAGTTGCTGTTCGCTGTGCAAAATGATGAAAATGTTTACGAGAGCCATGAAGGCTTGCTGAAACTGCCAAGTAACTTTTAGTGTTGATAGAAGATTCAGGAAATAAATGAGATTCCAGGATTTCTCTGCCAGAGACATGGATAACCCAGCTGCCACAGGTAGCCAGCGAGCACTGCCGAAACTCCTCGGGTTAGTGCCTGCACCGCACTAAGGCATCCTTCAGGGGCAAGAAGAGGTCTAATCTAAGTTTATTCTTGGTTATATTTTAGAAAACCATAGTCAGCTGCAGGTTTGTGATGATTTTAAGCTGGTTCTGATAGTGCTTAGCTGTGATTGAGCTGTTCTTTGCCAGCCCTGGGAAGCTTTGCTGCCTGAAATTCTGCACCTGCTGTCTCTTTACAGCTAGACCTTGTTTTATACAATTTGATATAATTTTATGTAATTTGATATAATTTTATAGTGGGAACTTGAAAATGGAGATAACAATAGGATTGTGAGGATTGCGTTGTGCATGCTTATATTTCCTAAGTTATGGCCTTAAATTATTTCCCTATGTTATTTAGCAGTTCTTAGGGTAAATATACTACAGGTGGTCAGGTAGTACAGTAACAGAAACTGTATAAATATGGCTAAATCACCCATCCCTCTTAGAAAAGGAGACAAGAAAGATAGGGGCACCCTCAGCAATGTAAAAGCCAGAGAATCACTAGAAGTTTATCTGTACCATTTTTCCATGACCATGTTTTTAATAAGAGTAGCTTTGAGCCAGGATTGAGATTCCAGTTTTTAAACTCTGCATGTATGTATTACGAGATACGCTTTCTTATTGTCAACAACTTAGCTGAAAACATAGATATTTATTACCAACGCACTGGTCGTACCAGGATACTGCAGCCCTAAGCAGGTACAGACAGCTGAGCAGAGAGGAAATCGAAACAAGCTGCTTAATTTTGGCAGAGGCTCGTTTCCAGGTTAGTTCTGGGAAAAATGTCAGTGGCTGCCTTGGGTTGCAGCCGAAAGAAAAGCAGATGTGAGAGCTGTCCACTCAACATCAAATATTTGCATCTTTTCCTGTAGGAAGGCAATTGGGAATTGCTTAGGTGTGCTTAAGCAGGCAGCGTGTGCCGGCTGCGTTTGCTGCGGCTTCGTGTGGGAGGGGACGGCTGGGAAGGGAGACGAGGAGGGAGGGAGAGACCTGGAGAGGGGAGAAGAAAGGAATCTTGTGGTGCCCACCAACAGTCCTTACTACAAGTTCCATTTGGATGTTGGTTGTGCGTGGCTCATACATTGCTGGTATGAATTAATCCTCTTGGTTTAGCATCTCTGTTTATTTCATAACATAACAGACCACCTTGGAAACCCTCCCAGGACCCAGAAACTGTGATATGTGAAGTAAGTCACCTAAGAAGCTTGAGTATAATCAGCATGAAGGTTTGGGGACTTGTCAGTTGTGACAGAATGGTGGGTTAGGAACTGCCTGGCCATGGAGCAAGTCACAGCATCTGCATGAATCTGTCAGAATGAAGATTTGCTGCACTAAAAAGGTCTTACTTCCTTCTGACACATCTCATCTCCTTGCTGGAGGGCGCTCAGAGGCTGGGAAGTGAGTCTTCCTCTGTGCTTTACACACCACCGGGATTAATGTCCCCACTGACCGCTTTGGGCTTTCCCAGTGGTGACAATCCTTGTCTGGCCCGCTCAATTTCCATGTAAATTCTGGGCTGGCTTTTTCCCCAATTTGTTTTAGTTCCCATCCCTCCAGTTGGCTGCCTGTGGGATTTGAGGTGCTTTGGCCAGCAGAAAAAATGGGGTGAAGGGTGTTAGTGGGGAGCTCTGGGTGCCGCACCCCAACAGCTTCTGTGGGTGCCACGGGAGCAGCAGGGCCCGTCTCCAGCATCCCTTATTGCATGTCCAGCTGAGCCTGTATCTCTCTGTACGGGTTAATCATGTTTCTCAAGCAGTCATGAGAATCAAATGTATACAAAGTAAAAAATAAAAAAAACAATTGTGAGACTAAATCACAACAAACATTAAAAAAAAAAAAAAGTCTTAACTCTTGAATTAGGCTTCTTTCCTCTCCTGCTACCCCGTCGCTGGCCCTCCCTGTTGGTGTCCCTCTCCCTTCGCATTTGCAAGTTGCAGGGGAGGCTTTTGGGAAAGCATCCTGCCTTGTCACTTCCCTAAGAGCTGGGGGCTGGAGTGAAGTTGGGCGTAATTAGGCCAAAGACTATTACTGTGGCAGCTGCTGGCTGAGAGCTAGGAAAACACCTCCAAGTGCTGCCGAAGCAGGCTCTGTGCTGATAGCTGAGGTGTGCAAGGCTTGCATTTGGTGCAGCAGGATGCTCTGCGACCCGGGGTGTTAGTGGCAGGACTGAGACCACAGAGGTGTGAGCAGCACCAGTCTGGAGCAGCCAGACAAGCTGTGAACTTCGAGCATCGTTTGTCAGAGGTGCAGACCCCAGAGAGCAGCAGCAGACGCTGTGCCGCTCTTCGGCGTACGAGGAGTGCTCAGCAAATAGCAGAAGTTACCAGCACCAGGAACGGGCCTGCCTGGGGAGCCAGGACTCACCTGTAAAAGCCTTTAATGTCAAGTCTAAATTGTCTTTGGGTGAACATCTTCAGCTGTTGGTGAGGAGTTTTTCTCCTGTTCGGCTGTTGGTGAGGAGTGAACAGTTTTTCTGTTTGACTTCTACAGAGCCAGGTTTACATTTCCTACACAATGATGGTAAGCTGCTTTTGGTGCCAGAATTAATTTTAAAAGCATCGTGGCCCTCTGGTGTTGCCTGGGATGTGGGGTACCACCAGTGTTGGCAGTGGAGCCAGATGGTGATCACCACTGTTTGGAGATGTTTCTCCTTCGGGTAAAGGGAAACTGTTTGTTTTCCTTAAATCTCACTGGTGGGAATTTAATTCACAAATTTTCTTCCATTAATCAAATAACCTATTGCTCTGAAGTCAATGCTTGATAAACACCCATCTCTTTTCCCGCTACATGATTTTGAAACTTCCATGAGGGATAACTGGCAGCCCTGCGGAGATGCTAAGATACTTGCTGGCTCCTCTGACCCACTCCACTTAAACACTGCATCACCTGAGCTTTACGTGCTGCTACTACTCCATTGCCGTAATAAATGTCAGGGAACAGGTTTTTTTCTTCAGTGCTATCTTATGTCACTCCATACTTTCTTTTTAAACACAGTGTTCATTCTGTTTCACCCAACCTGCCACTTTGGTCCGTGAGAGGCATGTGTCAGTCTAATAAAATAATTCCTTCTGATCAACTTTCATGCATGTGTGCACACCCACACATACAATTGCTGCTTCTTTGGCATGCGTGGGACATCTTTTTTCATATTTTAAAATTTTTTTTAATGTTGGGGTGGAGGATGTGCATTGGGTGGTGCCTGGCAGTCTGTACGCTGTGTGTGCCTTGATTTTCTTGTTTGTGGGTTTTTCTTTAGTGGCTGCTAACATAGATAATTCTTGCTAGATAAAATCAGGTATCATGGCTAGTTCATTTTGCCATGTGGAAAATTATAGTAGTAATTAATGGCTAGATTTTCATCCAAGCTTATGTAAATCATTTTTTCCAGTAATTGCAGTGTATTAGAAACGAAATAATTACTTACTGAAGGTTTGATCCTGTCAACTACAACCACCTGATGCTGATTCAGGAAAAATAGTTCAGCATATGATTGAGATTGATTCTTGGAAGTACTCTCTGTTGTTTGTAGTTTCTTAATTAGATGTTGAAGTCAGCAGAGGGGTGTTGAGCCCCTGGGGAGGAAACCAGTCCGGCTTGCTGGCTTTGTGCTCTCGCTGGTAAGGGATGCAGCCGGAGGATGCTGAGCCCTCTGCTCATCCCACCTTGCACCCCAGCAAAGCGGTGGGACACTGAACAGGGACTCTCCTTCAGATCTGAGATTTTCCTTGGGATTCTGGGAGTTTCTTTTTGTAGGTAGGTTTCTTTTTTGGAAAGCATCTACAGGGATGCTAGGGTGGGAGTCACAGGACTGGCTTGTATCCTTCTCATTTAACGTTGACAGCAAAATTTCCACCTCTGTTTGGGTAAAAGGAGCCGGAGTAGGCCCACTGCTTGCACCTCAACTCTGAGAAGTCCCAGCTGGGATTGATGCATCTTCTTTTAGATGCCTGAGGACGGATCTTCACAAAGGAGCTTGCAAGGCTTAGGCAAAGTGGATGAGAAGGTGTTACCAAGGCACAGGACCTCCACCTGTAGGCAAGCCCATGCCAGCTTTTACAGTGCTGTATAGGAGCTGCAGAGAAGCCCACTGCAGAGCAACAGCGTTCTCCCGGTGGAGACATGGAGGAGGTAGCTGGGGCTTGTTGGCAGAGCACAAATTGAGACGTTGCCTTTAGTTTCTATAGCTCTTTTGGGTGGTTTCTCTTCAGAGCAGCCATAGTAAGTGGCATTTTTTTATCCTCATTTGTTTGCAAAAGTGTAAGTCAAGTCCCCATCACTCCTTCTCCAAAGCTGATTTAGTACCAGGGAATGATTACAAAAAAAAGTGCGTTGCCAAGTGTAATGATAACTTGCCCAAAGACTGTTGTGGCAACTGCTTAACAAATGCAGTCATTTGTTATTCCTCATCCTTCTCGCTGTGTATTTTATCTCCCTGTTGTTGTTATGGGCTTGGCTGCTGCTTTACCTTTTGCCCTTCTATTACTTGTGGGAGCAAAGTATGAGGAATGGCTTCACGTCACGAAGCCAGGAGGCTGGTCCTTTGATAGCAGAGGACTATAAGCCTTGCATAAACTAACCCTGTGCATGCATGCTCGCACAGTGGGTCGGTGGAAGGCATTTGGCCCTTTGCCTAATTTCTTCTCTAATAAAAACTACAGATTTTCTTTTTCACTTCCTCCAGAATAGCCCAACGTAAAGTAAATTATCTGTATAGATTTATTGTTATTACTATTGCTATGAGGAGGGGAGAAGGAAGGAGAAAAAGGTGGAAAATTGTGACCATTTTCAGATGCATTTAATAATCTGTCATCTGTGTAGATTATGCACAAAAACATCCTCTCCATTTAAGTCTTAACATTACCGCTTAGTGCAAATTTGCAATTTACATTAACAAGTGTTTACAGCCAAGACTGCAATAAGTTAAAAACCAGTGCAATAACCAGAGTGTCCCCAGCTTCTGCTTGGTGTCGAACTCTATCTGCTTGGTTCCCAAGTCGAGATGCCAAAGGTTTCCAACGTCCCCAGGGATTCGAAGAGCAAGGTTCACTGCTCTGCTGCACCGCTGGCATCGCTGTAGCTGTTCTGCTATGAACTTTCGCACGTAACTCTTTGGAGAAGGAGGTTGGCTGCCTTTTTCATCACTAATTTTGAAGAAGGAGGCTGGCTGCCTTTTCCCTCTTCAATTTAAACACTCCATCATTTTCTGTGGTTTCTCACCCGTTAATGAGAATGAACGCGTGGAGTGTGTTTCTTGTTGCAGACACACAGCCATGAATAGGACAAAGCATCTTTCTGAACATCCTTTTGAAAGGGTCCCTTGTTTGCTGCTGTACACCGGGCACAGCCAGCAGCAGGAGGTTTGTGAAGTGATGAGAACAGAGCATAAATAGTCCCTGTCCAGTGGAGAACATACACTCCAATTCTCTTTTCTTTTATTTTTTCTTCCCCCCTGCAGTGTATTATTTCTTGAGCTTCCACAGCTAATGGAAATTCACTGGAAAGCAGAAACTCCTGAAGCTTTGGGAGAGCACAACTGCTTGTCTGGTGCCAACTTTGCTAAATCACATGAGCTCTGGTCTGATAAACAGTAATTTGTTTTTCATAAGAGAGGCTTGTGACAGGTCAAACCATGTCCTTATGATACTAGAGCCTTATAAATAGCTATAATAGTGACTCATAAGGAAAGACTTTTATTCATAATGGTCCTTGACTATGCTACGTTGTGAAGGGGCTATACAAGTTACATGGCAAATGGGGTTGGCTGCTGTTACAAAAGAAGTTCTTATTCTCTAAAAGATAACCAGATGAGAAGCCGGAATGATACAGTCTTATACAAGATACTGTTTCCCTATAAAGGACACAGCGATGCCATTAGCACCAATCTTGATGGTTATATTAAGAAAATAAAAAGTAGCGATATTTCCCCCCTTTTGCTCTTGGTGGTGTGTTGGAGGACGCATTGGAGGTTGCTCTTGGAAGAGTGATGTTCATGGAAGAGCCATCTCCACTTTGTGTAATCGTTTGGTGAAACAGCTATCTTGTTGCAATATTTAGGAAAGCCTGCTGCAAACGAGTGGGTTTTTTTGCTTTCACTGCCAAAGCTTCGGAAAGAAAATCAAACCCCCTCATCCTGTTTTTCAAGCTCTCATCCGAGGAGCCTCTGATACTCCACATCTAATAACCACTCTTCCTCACCGAGGTATGCTGGGGTAAGACTCACCTGGTGCCTGTAGCTGGTTGGAGCAGAATTAGACCCTAAGGCTGAGGCTGGCTAAATAGCTGCTTTTGCTCTCAATTAGTGCCCTGATCTTGATTTGAATCTCTGGAGCAGCCGGAAAGGAGCTGGGAGTGAGTGGGGGTGACAGTGGAATGCCGGACCCTGGGCACAGCCCATCGCTTCGCTGGTGCGAGGGGTCTGGCACCCTTTGGAGGTATCTGGGGGCCACTACTGCTCTGCCAGAAGCTACCTAAGGGCAATCCCTATTTTCACGTGTGTAACTTGAACCCCTCAAAACTCACACATGGTCTTAGAGGCAGGAGAATTGGCAGCGCCCTGGGCCAAGCCTGCCCTTGCATCACTGCAAGGACTGCTGGGCTGAGCGGGTGGTGTCTGAGGTCTTGTTTCAATAAATGTGTAAGCGGCAAGTTGTGTGTTTGGGAAACACGGCGGCGTGGTGTACGTGATGGTACATCGTTCCTCAGGAAACCAGCCATGTATGGCCACATTTTGTATCTACTGGTTCCCCTTTGGCCAACCTGAGTGAAGTGTGAGACAGGTCTTGGAGGTCACATTACACCAAAAGCTTGTGAAAATAGGGCCAAAAGATGGGTGCTTCCAATATGCTGTCTCAACTCTTAGGAGACATCAGAGACTCGCTGGGGGAGTTTATCCCTTCGGGTGCAGTGCGAACTCAGTGACTCTGTTTGCTGAAGAGCTGCTGTGTTTCATTCGATCGCTTAACAGAATCACAGAATGGTAGGGATTGGAAGGCACCTCTGTGGGTCATCTAGTCCAACCCCCCTGCCGAAGCAGGGTCACCTACAGCAGGCTGCACAGGACCTTGTCCAGGCGGGTCTTGAATATCCCCCGAGAGGGAGACTCCACAACCTCCCTGGGCAGCCTGTTCCAGTGCTCCGTCACCCTCAGAGGGAAGAAGTTCTTCCTCCTGTTCAGACGGAACTTCCTATGCTTCAGTTTGTGCCCGTTGCCCCTTGTCCTGTCGCTGGGCACCACTGAAAAGAGTCTGGCCCCATCCTCCTGACACCCACCCTTCAGATATTTACAAGCATTTAGAAGGTCCCCTCTCAGCCTTCTCTTCTTCAGGCTGAACAAGCCCAGCTCCCTCAGCCTTCCCTCGTAGGAGAGATGCCCCAGTCCCTTCATCATCCTTGTAGCCCTCCGCTGGACTCTCTCCAGTAGCTCCTCATCTTTCTTGAACTGGGGAGCCCAGAACTGGACACAGCACTCCAGATGGGGCCTCACTAGGGCAGAGTAGATGGGGAGGAGAATCTCCCTCGACCTGCTGGCCACACTCTTCTTAATGCACCCCAAACAACCTAATGTGCACCCTAATGCCTAACCTATAATGCAGCCTAAATAACCTAATAGCTTTGGGTACCATGAAATCTTGCCTGTGAGTTTTTCTTCCTTAACTCGCTTTCTTTTTTTTCAGTCTTTTGAGGATATGATAACTTTTGCTTTGTTTTCACAGGTGCTCAGATAAGCTGTTTCGCACCCAGCTCCTTCTCCTGGCGACAAGCGGCTTATGTGGACTCCTACTGCTGGGCAGCTGTGCAGCAGAGGCAGCCATCCCAGAACACCTTAGAAAACATTCCTCTGTGGCTGCATAAAGTATGTACAGATCTTCTCCTGGAAGAGTTGTCTCCGTGTAGAAATCTGCCTTCGTCTGACTTTTCTTGCTCCTCTGCTCCACGATAGTCCTTGGCTTTGACTTAACTCTCTATTTTTAGAGAGAATGTTCT